ATGTCATAAATAATTTAGGGTTATATTTAATGCTCTAAAATACTTGCTATTTTAGCTAATGCGCAAGTTTACTGCATGCAGAAAGAACACTTGGAAGTGAAAGGGTTAAGTGCTCCCCAGCACCATTTTTCCATTTTAGGCTTAGACATTGTAAAACAAAACTAAAACACAATATCTATACTTGACTGATACGTGAATGCTGTTTGGCTCTCAGAATCACTAGATGGTATTCTAACTTTGAAGAAGAGAGACCCCTCTTATAATTTTCAGCTGGACTGTGACCCAGTTTTATTTGCTGCTAAAGCTGCATTTGCTTTAAGAGACAGCTTAGGAACTTCTTTTGAACTGAAAATAATGGCTAAGCAAGACCCTTCATGGTTATCCAGAGTTAACCTCCCATCCTCCATATACACTTTACTAACACATGTAGATTTTCTATTAGTTCATCTAAATTTGGGCTCAGCTTTGACAGGAGCAGAGGGGAAACCAATAAATCCTGCATAGACGTGTTGTGGGGGCTGACATGAATAATATCTAATCATTTGCAAAGTTTTGCAGTTTTCTTGTAAACAGTTTGGACATTAATTTTATCTGTGACTGAACAAGGGCAGCTGTAGCAGTGTTGGTGCAAAACAAATTCCAAACACTATCCTGAGGTGATACTTTTATAGGTTAATGAAAAAATGACAAAGAAATGGGCAGAGGCCAAAAAATGTGCAAGATTTTAAGAATATAATCCCATTATCAACTCCAATATTAGAAGTAAGCAAAGGAGAAGGCTGGTCTCATGTCCTTTTTGTCAATATGCTGTTTCAGGATATAATGTAAAAGAGATGCTACAGATAAAAAAGGAGCTTTATCATGTAATATAATGGTATCCCCTCAATATGGAGTTAGGCTTTGTTTTCTTCCAACACAGAGCTAATGACATTTGCAAAGTAGCCACTGAAAGACTTCTCATGATTATTTTTAATGAACATCATCCTGTATCAAAAAGATGAGAGGAGTCAGTGTAAATAAACATGGTTCAGTAAAAACAAGTAGGATCATGAGACCAGAGCCAACCTTCATATTATCTTTTCTTTTTGCAACCGTATTACAAGTTAAAACTAAGACAAAAAAATTCCAAAACCACCTGGAGACAAGTTCATGGCTGAGTCAGGATACACAGCCCTGTATCCAGAGCTCAGGTTGACCCTTTCAGTCCCAGATTAGAGCACTTCATACATCATTCCTAAACAGTTAAATAAGCAGGGGCTCAAAGGAGAACCAAGGTACTCTACTGCAACATGCCTAACATTTACATTGCCCCCTCTGCTCATTAAACAGATTTTGTTTAAATAATGAGCAAACTGTATTACAGACTCCAATGAGAATTCCAAAATTATAAGTCAACTGATAAAGCTCAGAGGAGATGGAAGAGAATGGGAGGGAGAGAAGGGTAATATTGACTAATATAAAGGGCGCAGCTTGAGAAAGGATATTCCTGCCACACCTGATCAAACACAGTCCACAGAAGGGAGAAGGAAAAAGGAGCAAGAGGAGAAGTAAGACAAGGCAGTTGGAAATTTGCATCCAGAACAGATTAAAACAAATTCAATAGGGACTGAGGAAATACAGAATATATATTACTATAAATGCAAAACTGTTCTAAAAGCTAACTCAAATGTCAAAGATTACCACCTGAATAAATTTGAATATGAAAGCCATTGCTTCCATAACTTAATGAAGAAATGCTCAAAGTAAATCCATGGAAGAGCTAAATGTTGACCAACTTTCCTTTTTGACAGTGGAAGTTTCTGAGACAAGCACTGGACACTACCACCCAGGACTCATCAATCTAAGATCATGTAAGGAGGGTAATCAGCCAATTGCATATTATTGTACACACTATAAATACTGAGGCCAGCATAGCCCTTTTACAACTTATATGAAAAGTAAGGAATGTAACTTAATTCCACATATACACATTAACTTGGCACTAACCCGTGTTCCTTTATCATATACCTGTTTCCTACTGCCTCCTTCCATTAAATTTATCATGGTGGAACATTCAAGACAGTATTTCTAAATTAGGCACTTAAGCTCATCAAATGTTCCTGTGTATTTTCATTGCAGAAAACTACCGTTTAAACTTCCAACAGAGGAACTTTTATGGAGAGCATTTTCACCTCTGTCCCAAACTGCACCTCTGTTACTTTTACATTCAGGAAGTTAATACCTTTTCAGTGTTCTTCCACTGAACCAATTCCATCAACATGAATGTACCAATTTGACTGCTGTCATACCCACAATAAACGATAAGAGAACTCCAAAACTGGGTCAATCACAATCAAATAACTGGAGAATATCAAACCACTCTGTACTTAGATAAAACATGAAAATGGGTTTCGCTTTTCAGATCCCAGACTACTGTAGCTAAACTGGGTGTTTTTACAGATCAATAATACATATGGACATACAAATTCATGGTCAGACTATGTGGGAACATATTTAAACCTCATACTTCAGATTACAACATACAACTGAAGCCACTGCAGACTGACTGCCCCAGCTTCCGTCCGACAAGAATAAATAAGGCAGTGACTGAGGCCCAAGGAAAGCATAACTTACTTCTGCAAAGCTGTGAAGATGCAAGAGAGATCCATGATCTTATTATACCTAGAGTCATCAGAAGTTCCAAACTAAAGACAAATGGATAATGTGACTGAAAAAGCATGCAGACCAAAAAAGAGATATGTATGGTAGAAAAAAATAGAAGAAAAAAGAATTATACTGGACATAATTCTTTCCTTTTCCTTTGACTAGGCTCCTAGATCTGAAAAGCAGCTAAAACTTTAAAAAATATAATAAACACTTTGAAAAATTATACAGCTTATTAAGTTGAATTTTTATTTATTCTCCAAGAGCTGAAGAAAAATATAGCCCATAAAATAGATTCCAAATGTTGTGGCCATGGTTCAGTGAAGTAGCTTTAAAAACTTAATCAAAGAAGTAGATCAGGTCCATATCCTGTGCCTGACATACTCATGCAAGAACAGAATCCAGCAAGATCATAAATCTCTCCACCCCACTGCAAAACTAAAGAAGGCAGAAACAATATCGGAGGCTAAACCACTTCTGAACATGCTTTTGGTATCAAAGAGGACTTCAAGGTGGGAAGGAAAACACAAAAACCCTGATGCTACTATGAACATGATACTCAGTTTACCCTAGATATCAGCTGAAAAATGATACAGAGGCACAAAAGTGCCACAGCACTCTGTTTCTTGTGGAGGAGGGAAGTCCAGATTTTTTAAAATCATCATAGAAATGAGTTTTTAAAAACTGATAATTTACTGGCAAAAATCTCTATTATTTACAACTGCTACAGAATAAGAGGTGCCTCGCTTAACGAGCGATTCGCTTAACGACAAATCCGCATAGCGATTGAGTATTGCGATCGCAAAAGTGATCGCATAACGATGTTTTAAATGGGAAAACATCGCTTTGCGATGATCGGTAAGCTGTTTCGCTTACTGATTATCGCATAACAATGTTTTTCCAACAGCTGATCGGCGGTTCCAAAATAGCCACCGGGTAAAGAAAATGGCCGGCCGCTGTGTTTTCGCGCCCTTTCCTTGCTTACCGGGCAGCGAAAATGGCAGCCGCATGGAGGATTTCTGCATAACGGTGAGTTTTTTGCCCATAGGAACGCATTAAACATGTTTTAATGCGTTCCTATAGGCTTTTTTGCCCCGGATAGCGACGAATCCACATCGCAACGATTTCTTCGGAATGGATTATCGTTGCTATGCGGGGCACCACTGTACGGGCACTTAAGAAACCTATATAGTCTATCTGCAGTAGAGAAAGATCAGCTTTAAATGTTAGGAAAAAAGAGAACATACTTTAAAAAGATGAAATTAATAAAGAGGATATCTCATATGTTCACTAATCTGAAAAACCTGACATATTAATAGCAATAACTGTAACTGTAATTAGGATGAGGATTTCTATGACATGTCATATTTTTTTCTGCAAACTTTGAGTTTATAAGTAAATTGAAACTTGTTTATGAGTGTGTCTTAATGAAAATTTTTATGAACTATCTGCAATCCCCTTGTGTTCCATTCAGGTTTGTTTCATGTCACCCTTCCACAACTTTGTCCTGAGTTCACTTCAATCCAGGGTCCAACACCCGAGGACCTCACCACCCTGCTGCTGGAGCAGCTGAGCTTGCCCTTTTTCTTCTCCATCAGTTCTTCTGTGTCAGCATGGGCTCTGGTTGGGATCCCACAAATTGGCTGTCTCATTAGGGAGAAGCTGGTCAGGTAGCAGGGGCCAGCCTATTACAGAAGGCCTCCAGTATCTCCTGGAGCACACACAATAAGCTAAAAGGAACAATACCTGTATTCAAAACTCACTGTAGTATCAGCCAAGTAGTATCTTTATCTGGACCAACCAAAAATTCAGAACAGAGTGTACTTTCTAGATCAGATTTTATATTTTCAAACATCGAGAACTGGCCAGTACACATTTGTGATTTGAAATAAGCATGACACCTAGTAGAGTGTAATCCATGTAAGTATCTATCTCCTCAATTCCATGTTAAAACTGTAACAATACACACCTTATGGCTTCAATATCAAATGAGCCTTCTTTCCCCCCCTCTTCCCCACCTCAGTCTCCCCAGCTGGCATTTAATACCACCTCACCAGCTAAACAGCTCTCAAAACCTGAAGAGTTTGCCTACAATTTTTGTGCATTTTTTATTGGTCCAAATAAGAACATCGCTTGTCCATGTGCTCTGGATTTTTTTCTTCTGTATCATCATAGATTGCTCTGTTTAATTTGTAACTGAACTCAACATCTCCCTGAAAATACACATGCATAAGAATTATGCATATGTTAATATATACATTTAATTAATACATTTGTTTATACAGTGTAAGTATAAATAGATATACGTATAATGCACATCATTCCACCAGATGATCAATAAAAAATTTAAAGCCTACCAGTTACATTATTCAGAACTTCTTTCAAGACACTGAAGCTGTGCAACAGGGGATCACGTTCTTCATCCTAAACATATGAAGAGGTCATTACTAAATCAAAGCTGAACTCTCAGACCAAAGAAGGAAAGACATTTTATCTTTTGTTCAATTAGCTCTTCAATGGGACATTAATCAAAAACATAACCCTGTAATAAGATTTCTCAGGATTAGATATGGGCACGAATTAAGTTATGCCTCTTTGTACAAATATCTCCATGTGGCACCACAGGTGCCATGCATTTCCTCCCACTTTCCAGATGGCTGCCCCATGCACAACCCTCAAACACTGCCCAGGTTGTCCTCCACCACCAGCTGCCCAGTCCAGGAAGGAGCTTGGGCTTCCCTTCTCCACCTCCTCCAGCAGCCAAGCACTCAACGGCTGTGCAGGCGGAATCTTTGTCCCACCGCCTCATCTGAGTGGTTGGCTGCCATAGGAGGTGGAAAAGGGATGCCCAAGTTCCTTCTCAGATCAGGCAGCTGGCAATGCCCTGGGTGGTGCATGGAGGCTTGTGATTGGAGTAGCCATCCAGGAGATGGGTGGAGGGAACGTGTGGCACCTATGGTGCTGCGTGGAAATCTTCATACAAAGAAGCATGACTTAATTCATGCCTATTTCTACTCAGGATTCCTTCTAAGTGTACAAACACTGGTAACCGTAACCATCAAATAATTATAATCATACTATTTTCTTTTTAGTGAAATGCTCGGACTTAATTCTAAAAGTTAAAACAATGTTTAAATATCAGTGGCAGACATACAGATTATTATGTGAAGAGAACTACCTGTTATAACTTCATAAGCCATCTTAGGCCCAAAAAGTATAAAGAGAATTTTGTTAGAACTGTAACTAGATACAAATTTATTTAGAAACTAGCCTTCTTAAACAGTGGAGGACTAACAAGTAGCTAAACATACATAGGACCAGAGTACTTCTAAGAGTACTACTTTTCAGCATCTTTTACTGTTTTTTTTTCCTTGACAGACCCCAAGATAACATGCAAAGTCCATCCTCATTAACAATTCTATGAGTTAAAATAAGCTGAAAGAGACGATTGATCCAGATCTACACCAAGAAATTATTGGTAGAGTACAAACTCAAACCTGTATCTTGGTGGAGTGTACATTTAAGCATGTATTTGTCAAGTTTAATTACATTACTCTAGCAACTATATCAGAATGGTGCCCGACATGTACCCTCCTCAGCTGTTTCTGCAACATCCTTGATGCCCTCCCATCTAAGAAGAATTTTTGTTATGTGAAAAAGGTCATTTCCTATGCTAGTAAACATTCAGGGGTTCCAGTTATACTACAAAACATACACAGGCCTCTCAAACCTCAAAAAAGCCCCCATCCAAATCTCCTTAGAGACAAGATAGGTTAGCAATTTAATTTAGTTAATTAATTGAGCCATATATTCATGATCTGACAAAGAAATATTCCAGGTAGGGCATTCACAGCATTAAGTTACATTTACAAGTTCATAGCATCTATTATATAGAAAATGTCACATTTCAAAGCATTATGTTAGCCAGATTTACACAAGCGCCTACACAAAGATAAAAGTCACATACAATTTCATACAGCAATTATTCTAATTCCTTTAGTATACCTGATATTCATTGAAAATAATGTACATCTTTTATTACAAAGATTCAGGCTGGCTGAATGTGTTTCTCCACAATCTTACCAAATGTGTATGGGTACTCCATCTTGCACTTCTTTTTATGGCTCCAGCTACTGTATTGATTTCGCCTTGTACAATATAAATGTTCTTATCCACAATCCTGACAGACCTAAAGTTGAGAAACTATGTTAGTACCTGGTACAAAAAAGAGCATTTAATTATTCAATACCAAGGAAGAATGCATCACAATCTCCATTTCGGACAACAGAGAGAGAAAGAGAAAGAATTTCAGGACAATTGGATCAGTTAAATACTTCTGATATTATATGTTTTATATGCTCTTAATAGTAATTATTAAACATGCTAATTTAAACTACTAAGTATTTTCTAATTTCTATTTATAAAAGCATTTCCATAACAACTTAAATTCACACATTAAAGTATGCTATATTTGCCCTTTTTCATTTTTCAAGAATTGGGCATGCTGCTGCACAGCTTCTCACACATTCTTTTAAAATATGTTTTCTGTAAGATTCAGTCCTCTGCCAGCCATCATACCTTCCCCTTAGGTGCTTAGGAGAAGTGGCTCTTAACAAAAAAAACTAAAGACCAAACACCAGCATCTTTTATGACGACTGCAATCAGTACTTTTAACACCAGAAATCTGAGAAAGCCCAACGGGCTGGAAGATGTCTGTACTGACCGAATCAATCAAACCACCAAAGAATAGATGGGTTTGCCCAAACTAACTACCACCAGAAACCATCAAGAGACATCGGAATACTGTACTACAATTCAATACAATACAAATGAGGAAGCAAAAGGAAAAAGAGTTAGCACTTCAAAGCAATAAAGATCAAAAAATACATGAACAAATACCATTGGAAGGCTGATGATGTAATCGGCTCTGGTGATTTTCAAGAAATTAAAATTTTCTAATTACTTTCCACCAAAGGTCCTTTGATCGTGAAGAAGCCACTTAAAGCCAAAGGAGTGTGGGAAAGTCTTTAAATTCTGAAAAATCACCACGGATAATGATATCATCAGCCTTACATGGTGCAATTTAAAGCAATAAGATTTCAGTCTATATTTTAACAGTTTAAGCACAATTAAATCAGAGGGTAAATATAAAAAGCACAAAATCCTTTTGGGGGCTCTAAAGAAAAGAGAGGACCACAGGATTGGTACAGATACTGTACCATCATGCAGGCTACAGCTACCAATTCCTCTTTGGCACATGGCAGTTTTTACTCTAGTCAATTAAAATGGAAACTACTATAATCACAAGTGTTAAGATTATGCAGGAACAACAGCAATAGAACAGGCAAGGCATTTTTTTCTAGACAAGTAAAAAAACATAGAGAATAAATTTTACAAGAGGATAATAAACCTGAAAGCACTGAGAATGGTCCTAAGAAGAACTATGAAAACTCTAGCACTTACAACTTATACAAATACGAAATGTTGTATGTAAATATTAGCATCTCCTGTCTCATACTCCACAACACAGAGATAATCCAATATTCACATTCAAATGTACAAATAATTTGAAATACTTACTAATCCACCATACACTTAACATTTTCACAAGGCAGTGACAACTATGCCTGTGTCCAACATAGTGCCTATGAGAACTACTCTCAAACCATCTAGCTGTGAATTCACTTGAGCATTATACAGTATTAAGAAATTTGTTCACTTTATTTAGATTATTTCTGTTTTCTGTTTCTAAACACACCAAAGCTAAACACACCTTATTTATTTAGAAAGAAATTTGAGTTTTGCATGTAGATAAATTGATCACACTAACTGATTTTAAAATGAGCAAAGAAAGTTACAGAATTATAGAACTGGAACTTTCTTAAAGGTCATTGTACTAATCTTATTCCCTAACCTAAAAGATACAAAGAAATGTTTAAATATCTATTTTATCATACTGGATGTTAAGAAAAGTAACCCAAGAGGTTCTTAGTTACTCCTTTTAAAAAAATTATAATAAACAAAAAGAAAGTTAAGTGAAAGGATTTGCAGCAGATTCTGCAAATGTGTCCAGTGCATTGATATTTCTATCATAGCTGTGAATAAGAGGAAGGGAAAAAAGGTTCTTACTGATGGAGTATCTATTCTTTACGTGATTTCTTTTCACATATTTTTCTAGCATAAGACTAGATATCAGTATGCTTATTTCTCATCCTCTTGTCCCAGCATGAGATCAAAAAGTGTTGTGATTTTAAAATCATTTCTTACATTAAATATTATTTCTTAGGTATTTATCACTTGAACATTATCTAGCTTACTGTCAATATCCTACATATGGTAGAATATTGTTAGGTATTCTCCCTTGCCTCTCACATTATTATCCTATTTTTTCCACTTTGGATGAAATTTTTGTGCTGCAAGGCTGCTGATGTAGGACGCATTAAAATAGTATCAATTTCCACCCAATTGCTTAAATATATCCTTTTAAGTGTATCATTAGGACACTGCTACAAAAACATCCTTTATGAACATAATGTATTTATTGCCTATCTGCAACACCTGGACAGTGCTGGAACACCTGATGGTTTATCTAAATATAAAGTGAAGTCTTGCCCATCTTGTTGTATGCTATTGCCTGCTACAGACAAATTCATATTCTTTTGTGTAAAGTGCAGTTTTACAGTGACATCTTTACTTATGGTACACTTGGCTGAAAAGACTGATTACTATCTTTCTAGTTCTAGGCTCAGATCTTACCATGTCTAGTCATATGCACTACAGTGATATGATCTCAAATCATTCTCTAAAGATTTATTAGATATTATGTCACCCAAAATGTGTTTATCAAATGGAAATATAATTTGTTAGTGAAGTCTGCCCAAGAGGTCACTAGGCCAATCTCCATGTGGCGCCCAATCTTATGGGTCTGAGATAAGGTGTCATTTCTTTAAATTATCCCTCACAAAACAAAAGAAAAAAAATTAAAGAAACCAGAACTAGGGAAACTTTCTTCTACCATATGGCTTTCTTCAAATGAAAAAGGCTGGGGCCAGTCTTTGAACCAATGACAGATGTGACACCTTGCCACATATTTTCTAGGACATTCATGGGAAATGGCTAACAAGAATGAACAATGGACAAGGACCTTGACATATAATGTTCATACTAAAATCCATTTATTTTGCCTTTCACTTTAGAGCTGTGGTTCTCTGCTACATTTTCACAGCATACATTGCTATATTTGAATGTACGTAAATACATATAAGGTTGCCTTATATGAAACAGTCAAGCCCAGAAATAACACATGGATAGGCAGAGGAAGTCACTAGATAAAAATCTGTATCTGCAACTCCACATTCTCTTGGAAAACCAAAATACTGTAAAGGATGGCTTGTACTAACTATCCTTTCACTTGTGGAAGGGCCAGCTCCATTTCCCTGGAAGCAAAACTATGTGAAACCTGTGTTTCTCAACCATTTGTCCTCCAGATATTTTGGTCTTCAACTATATACCAGAATCCCTTGCTCAGTAAGGCTTCCAGGAGATGACTCTCAAAACTTCAAGAGGACCAAAGTCATGCTAGAAAAGACAGTACCCATATGAAACTAGGCACCCAACTGCACCATCACGCAGTATCCCCTGCCCAGACACCCAGAACTAATTAATGAATTCTGTTTCCCTCAAACTCTGAACAACAAGAGGAAACGTCTTGGTTGGTATGGGAGCCTTGTGTGGGAAGAGTCATAAACAGGTTTCAATCTATTCCCTCCTAGTCGCAAAGCATGTCCCAAGTCAAGGCCAACAGTTGGCGTTCCCAGACAACTTTTGCAGCTGTGCCAGGCAGAACACCCGTGTCCTGGGGCCCACGCAAAACTCTCCGAAACACCGCGCTACCAACGCTCCCTCTCCACCGGTTTACCACATACTGAACCAGAGCGCGGAAGCTGCCCTGTGGACACGGAGACCGGTTCCAAAGTTGCCCGAGACCGCAGCAATGCCTGGGGCCTGTCACAAGGAGACAGAACTTAGCAACAGTCCCGTTCCGTGCCCTGCCTTGGCGACCTAAAAGTAATAGGCCTCCTTTCCTTTCTGCCTTCGCTTTCCCTAGACGGGCCTTCTCCTATCTTCGGCCGCCACCACCTTTGGACTCTCTCGGGCCTGTCGCATAGGACATGGCCTTCAGGCAGGTCGAGCTCCTCGTGTGTCTTCTGGAAGCTAAGGAAAGGTCTTTCCCGACCCCCCTCCTTCCTCCGCTTCCTTCACTCCCGCCCTCCATGGGGCAAGCCTGCAGAGAGACCCACTTACACGACCCCGGCTAGCGGGCGGGGGAACGGCTCGTTTACTCACCCCTCCATCCACCCGGCATCCAAAATGGCGGAGTTGGAGGACAACTGAAGCAGCGTCGGGGGACGTCTTCGCATAGCCCGGAGCCGCTCCAGCGGCAGGAACGACCCTGCGACAAGCCCCCGGGCCCGAAATCAAGAGCGCCTGAGGGGCGGCAGAAACCGGCTCTGCTCCGCTCCTCTCACTGACGTGGAAACAAAGCACAACCTACCCCGCTGCCTGGTTACGGCACAGAAGGAGTGCTCCAAGCAACCAATCGAAAGCCACTTTTAAACGAAGGGCGACCGCATAACCAATAGGAACGGTTCGTCGCGGCAGCGTTCGTCTCCGAGATTAAGGATTGGAAGGGGCAGACAGCCCAAGAGACAATCGCGTGAAAGAGGAATGAATTGGCACCGCCAATTGCCAATAAGTAGATAGCAGAATGCCTCCGGATAAGCGGACAGCTATGGGAGGTGAGCGCCAAGTGCGGTTGAGAGGCGAAGCGGGGGTTGAGGTGCATCATGGGCTTAACTTGTCATTTGAAGGCTATGCGCGAGGGTTCGAATGTGTAACTTTAGGTCTGTTGTGTTGCCTTGATTCTTTCTCCCTCCATAAGAAAGGAGACAACCCGCCATAGCTGTTTCTCATTTCAGCACAGAATTCATCTTCAGGCAGACCAGACATTCTTCTGCTCCAAGGCAGTTGGTGTTAATAGAAAACCTTTTAAACCATGCTCGCGTCCAGCATGCCCAGAATGACAGCCCGGAGTCCCTGGCCAGGACAGGATCTTTAGCATACATCTGGTATCTGTACGCATCTGCATGGCCGGTTGACCGCTTCTATTAATTAAAGAAGAAGAAGAAGAAGAGATGCTGAAGTGAGCAGGGTCAACCTGCTTGGCCCCACCTACCGACGTTAGACTTCTTTGGCTCAGCAACTCCTCCCCCGTCACCTGCGCTACCTAGTGGTTACTTGGGGACCCCAGGGCTAAATATTCTGTATCTGTTCATCCTCCCAAGGGCACAGTCACTCCTCAACTGAAGTCGACCTATTGTACAGTGAAAGCTGTCAGCATAAAAAGGATTGCCAATCATTTTATTCTTGCGCTGGAGTAATAACCAGGATGGCTTCAGTGGCTGCATAACACAGAGAATGCTCTCTCTATTTTTAAACTGTTTCTAGTTTACATTTTCTTTCTGGAAGGTGTTTTTTTTTTAAATCTGTAGCATGACAGATTCCATTCAAAAAATTACAGTATATTTCCAAATGACACAATGACTTGTGAGAAAAACAATATTGCTTAATTATCCCCAAAACAAGAGTGTCCTAAACCATCCAAGATTCCCCTTCGCTCAAGACAATTTTTTCAACATCATCATCATTTTTTGTCAGATTTAAATCTAACTTGCTAGTAAGGAAGCCTTTGGCTAGTATGATTCATGACAGAGACTGCTTAACGGCAGCTCTGAGGTGCTTAAAGGGCAAGGGGGGACAACCTATTGTTTAATGTGATGCAGATGAAATTATGATTGAGGAGTGTATATGTGTATTGCTTCACTCAATGCAGCATCATGTTACTTATACAGACCCTAATTGTATAGCAGGTGTCATTGGCTGTATTGGCATTCAACCTCAGCAAATTAGAAATCATGTAAAGGGCACAAGGGCAGTGACTGAAAGCATTGAAATATACTTTAATCTGTACTTGATGTTAGATTTAGCATATTTTATGCTATATTTGATGTGTCTTCGTAAGATTTCTGTTGAAGACAGCCTGATTTTCCCCCAGGATGAAAAAATATTGATGTGAACATTATCAGATGTTTCTCAGGGACTGTGATACAATCCAGATCTATTTAAAAAACCCCTCATGTGTGGTGCTTACCATTGCTTCCATAAATGCAAGGACAAAGAAGTGCCAAATTCATCTTTTTTAAAAAAATATTGGTTTCTAACCTCTAGAAGTAAAACTGATGTTTAAAATTCTCTTGTGTAATTAACATGCCCACATGTTGTTTATAAATGTGCTTTCTTCTAAGTCATTTACTGGGTGAGTGTCTAATCAGAAATCAATGATATTAGATTTTTATCCTTCTATATTCTGTACAGGAGCCCTACCTTACCTCCTGATCTACTTTAGTGCTGTGGAAAACAACACTCTTACTAGATCTATATAGTTTCCTAGAACCACCTGCCCTCTCAACACTTTCCTGTTTTGCTTTGAAGAACCTAGAATCCACTGGTCTCTTCAGTTTTACAATTTTGCCTCATTTTTCCATCAGATATTTCAGTCCAGCCTGTTCTCCTCAAAAGTTTCACTTCTGATAAAGTCTAGGTTCTCCCTTCTCTTCTTAGTCAATCTGCTCATACATTACATGGTCTTCCTTTCAGCAGAACTTAAAACAAGTCTGTTTGTCATCAATGAAAATAAGAAACAAGGCCAGAAAGCTGGGACCTCTACAGAAGGAATTATAAAAAAGTTATATCTAGTACAATTGAAGCCAGTGTGGGAAAGATATGATGATCTGTGACTGGCTGTCCCGCATCTTTGAATGTCTGCAAAAAGCATTTGTGCAGTTGGAAATTTTAATGGAAAATAAAGCAGTCCATTCTTCCCCTTCCCATATTTGTTTTTTAAAGCTCCCTGGAAGCTGCCATTTGTCCCATTAAAGGGCAGATAGAACTTTAAGCACATACTATAGTCTTTACAGGAAAATGACAAGTAGATGATGTTCTCCTTCCAGCCCCATGGTCTCCCTATGGCTGTTTCTAGAAAAATAAATCTGTATGAGCAAAAGGAGATGATGTAAGTATATTTGAGATCAAGAAACACACAGAACAAAAGCACCCAAAAAGTACCCCAACCTAAACTGTTAGATTACACACAATAGCTATTTTTCATGAGGTGTTTCTGAAATGTCATCAAATTCTACCATATATAAGGCAGAATCTTTCAACCAGTTCTCAGATTTATAGCACCAAGTGTTTTAGTGCATGTAGATTTTTTTAAATATTACATTAATGGGACACTAAATAGAGCAGACATATTAACTCAATATTTTTAACGAGCATTCCATTCAAACCTTGGTTTCTGAACATATCTTCTGGGGTTTTCAGCAGTGTTTCTCTTATCTGCTTTTAGCAGGGTGGGGGTAGAGGAGGCTGCAGTTCTTTAGGATATCCCAACATGTTACAAAGATTCATCAAACACAAAAGGGTTGAAAAACAGTATTATACATCTATAACCACTATAGTAGCTGTGTGATATTCTTCAACATGCCACACACAGCCACAAAAGAACAGCACTTCCTGAAGTTCAAGAGAGTAGGTAATTTGGAGTCTGATGTGATCTTCACAGCAAGGAGTGAAGCTAAGAAGAAATATTATTGGATGAAACAACTCTGCCATCACAAAACTTCCCCAGAATTTAAGTTCTTGTTACTGAAGTTTCTCAGTCAACAATAATCAGCTTCAGCAGCCTTCATCAATAGAAAAGACTCTGTGTGAAAATTGTGAGGTAGGTGGAATTCCATTTTCCAGATGGTATTTCTGGAGGTACAATTTGTTTCATTCCAAGCATAAATATTGGCTACTGTTTGCTGTCACTTTTTGAGCTGCCCCACCCCCAGTTGCTCACAGTTATTTGCTGATCTGCTACAATGACACAGAATCTATAGAGCAGGCTAGTACGGGAACTGGGAGCTGGATGGGTAAAGCCGAACATAAGCTGGGTGAAGGGAGGCTGGTTGCTTTTCCAACAAGAGAAATGGTGGGTAGGTATTTCCATACTTCTCCTCATGACTGAGATGGTTGCCTTCACACCTGTGACTGTGGAGAAGCCCTCCCCTTGCACCTACCTCAAGCATCTAATACAGAGATGGAAGAGGATTAGAAATTTAATTATCAGGCCCACCCTGGTTTGTGAGGGAGATGACCACCTAAGAACATTAAGATACAATAGTTTTACAATTTTAGAAATTTAAGTACTTTTACTTCATTTTTTTGTTCAAAATATTTTGATAACTAATATGTATATAAAATAATAATTAAGATTCAAAATACAATAGTAATTAGTATAAAAAATTGAAAAAGTACAGACCAATTTCTTCCCTTAGTAAACATTGTTCTCCAGGATAGTTTAACTGGTATCATTAGTATGTCTAATACTAAGCTCCACTTTAATATTAACATTTTAATGTATTGTGATTTAATATATAAATACGTTTTCTTATTTGCAGCATGCCACCTTCAGCCCTTTCATGGGGGAAAACGTGAGCTATAAATAAAGCAAATAAATAGATAAACCATTTAAACACATTTTAAAGGATGTTTTGTAGTGGTTTGTGGTTTGGATTATTTTTGTTTGTTAAGGTGATGAATAAATATCAGACTAGCCATTGTCCCTTTCATTGCGGAATGTGTGCAGAACAGTCCACTCTCCATTAAGTTTCCCTCTTGCTGCTATATGTGCATGATAGAACCCACCAGCCCTAAGGACAAATGAAGAGCCCCTGTCCAAACATGCTGCAAATCAGAAATCAGAGATTCAGAAATAGGACTCTCTGGCTGTGGAGGCATCACGATCTGTGTTTGCAAACAGGATTCTGGTCTAGTGAGGTTATATAAGAAATTATCCCAATATTTTCACCACATAGGGTATAGCAGGCAGATTTGGTATATTTCTATTCCACCTTTTTCCATATGGAACTTGTCATGGCATGGTGTATATACCAGGAATTATTATGTGGGGAAGAATAAAAGAGAGATTTTGAGTATACTGTATATGCATAACAATAAGCCTCTGAATAGATCCGAGTTTCATGATGGAAAAGACAGAAATATTTAAGAATCTTGTGACACCTTCAGACTAATAATTTTTATTTGGCCTAAAGTTCATGGACTGCATCCCACTTCATCAGATGGGTGGAAGTGAATAAAACTTGTTAATCTTTGAGGTGTGGATGGATTGTTTGTTTTGCTGCGAGACACAACATGGCTACCTCTCTGGAAATCTCCGTATAGGTAAAATGAAAAAAATAAACTGTTCCTTGTACAAATTTCAAAACAAAATGGCTAATACCTTTATTGGACCACTAAAATATACTGTGTGTACAGGTACAGTGTCAGTTTTAAAACAAAAACAAACATTTATATAAATGGTTATGTTATTTTACAACTAAACTTTTTTGTTCTGAAAGTGTCTATTTGTCTGCTTCCCCTCATGTAAACAACCACAGTTTAGACATCAGAAATATATCCTATGATTTAACAAGCCACTCTAGAGAAGATTCTAGGCACCCTAAAGAAAATCACCAGGACCTTTGTTTTGCTTCCAATAATTAATATATGTGATTTTAGTCATTGGGATTATATGGAAAAGATTCAAAAGTGTTATTTAGGGAAGGTCTAAATACCATTTTTGAATTTTCTGCCTTGGTGGTATTCCAGACTATATTGTGATTACGCCATAAAAACAGAATCTGTGGTCACTCATCAGTTATTAATGTTGTATATTCAAACAACTGAACAAGCATATTGAACTGGCATAGCAAATGTACAAATTTCTTTGCTTCACACAAAAAAGGGAATACTCGTATCAATCACACTGCTATCATTACTCCATGGCACTACATTATTCTACCCTCTATACTTTCAGTTGAATCCTTGGCCCCTTCAGGGAGTCCAAAGCCTACCCATGGCACCCATTTCTTTTGCAGTAGAGCAGTGGCATGAACAGGGTATCATTTGTGAGAGGAAGGATCACTTGTGAACTGCTAGTGTAGTGAAATGACATGTTCAAGAAATGATCATCTTGAAAGGGGATTGTCCTGAAAGCGGAAGAATCCCAGCGGCAGGAATGTGCGACCTGTGGCGATTTAACCTTAGCTCTTTTTTATATCTATATTAGAAAAATATGCATGGAGCACAATGTGAAGGCATCTCTTAGGTGGCAGCCAGTTAGTGGTGCAGATGTTAAAACCCGGGCTGAAAAACTCCCAGTTCTGCACTTGTGGGCATATTGACAAGGAAATTGTATTACTGACATTGCTGGGGGAAGAGCATCATTCATAAAAATGCTTTAAACAAACGAAGGTACAGGCCATGCTATGCTATGCTTGGAATGTAGGATTTGAAATGACCTGACACTGGTTTGGCTAAGCAGACACCACTCTTTTAATTATCTGCACTGGTCCTGGAGGAGAATGTATTCAGGTGTGTTGATCTGACAGGGAGCTTTGGAGCACAGCCCTTATTGCTTTTACATGTGGCCCAGTCAACCTCTGACTTACAGCAACCATAATAGGTAGAGTTTTCCAGGTACAGTATGTGAAATATTTCAGGAGTGGTTTTAGCAAGAGAAGACTCCCTGGAAAAGACCCTGATGTTAGTTTAGGAAAGTGTGAAGGCAAGAGGAGAAGGGGACGACCGAAGATGAGATGGCTGGACAGTGTCATCGAAGCTACCAACATGTATCTGACCCAACTCCGGGAGGCAGTGGAGGATAGGAGGGCTTGGCGTGCTCTGGTCCATGGGGGTCATGAAGAGTCGGACACGACTAAACGACTAAACAACAACAACACACACGCCCCCAATATGTTTCTGTGGCCAAGCAGGGGTTTGAACTCAGGCCGCCAGACTCCTAATCCCTCATTCTAACACCATACAGGCGTTGTATCCTCCGGAAGGGCAAAAAGCTTGGGGAGTAAGAGTCCCTCTGTAGATACTGTATACAAATATTATTTACTGAACATGTTGCGGCATCTGTGCATTCCCTAAGGAACCGAGAAGGAGAAGCCAGCATCTGGTTCCTCGGTCAAACCCGGTTCTCCTTCTGATGGCCCAGGGGTAGCGGGTGGGCTGTTCCTGCACCCTGCAACAAGTCCTTTCCAGGAGGGGAGGCGGGTTCATTCCTCCCAAGTTTCTATCAGGCGCCGAGACGACAAATGGGACTGCCCTTAACCGAGGCTGTGCGGGGCCCCAGGTATCCTCTTCCCATGGACGGAGCAAGAAGGACACCCCTGTTACCGGTTTCGCTCCCACCGCCTAAAAGGCTCTCGGGTGCGGGCGAGGAGACCCTTTTCCCACGTTCCCTAATAAGCTCCAGATGCGTTTAGGTCCCTCGGAAGAAGCCCGTTTCTCTCCTCGGAGAGAGCGGACCCGGCCCTCCCGGACTTTCCCCTTCCCGGGGCAACTTCTTTGCGCCCTCCAACATCTCCCTTCGTTCCTTCCACCCATCCCTCCCCGTCCACTCAGCCCACGGAGCGCCTCTTCCTTTTCCGCAGGCTCGCCTCCTCCCCTCCCTCCTGGCCGGAGCCGGGCAGGCGCTAGGGCCGCCGCGGGCGGGGAAGGGCGGGTCCCGAAGCCCACAGGGTGGGGAGGGGTGGGGGGGCGCTTGGCTGGTGGCGCTGCTGGAAATGGGGCGGGCTGGGAGCGCGCTGCCCGATGGCAGCTGCCTGGGGGCGCCGATGGCCTCATCCATAAAGCCGATGGCCTCAGCCGCGGGGACGCACTCGACGGCGGGCTCGTCCTCCAAGCTGCTGCGGAGCGCCGGCGGCCCAGGAGAACTCCAGGGGGACGCCGGAGGGGAGTGGAAAGCCGGCAGCCTTGGGCGAAGAGGAGGAGGAGGAGGAGGAGGAGAACGGACGGCCCCGGCTCTGCCTCCGCGCGGGCTGCCCTCGATGTAAGTGATCCGCTGCGCCCACGACGGCTGGCTTGGTCCTCCGAGGCTGGGATTAGGAGGGGACGGTCGTCCTTTCCCCCCCCCAGCTGAAGGGCGCCCCTCCCCACGCGCGCACACACACACACGAGCCATCGGCAGAAGTTGAGAACGGAGAAAGGGGAGAAAAGAGCGGGACGGGGCGGGCGCTCCTCTCGCTGCGCCCCGCCGTCC